TGGCCTTCCTGATTTCACTCCTGCATGCCTGAGCAATATTTTTATACTCCTCCCTAGTCATCTGTCCAAATTTCCACTTCTTGTAAGCTTCCTTTTTGAATTTAAGCTCACTGAAGATTTCTCTGCTAAGCCAAGCTGTTCGCCTGCCATATTTACTATTCTTTCTGCACATTGGGATGGTTTGTTCCTGCAACCTCAATAAGGCTTCTTTAAAATACAGCCAGCTCTCCTGGACGCCTTTCATAGAATCATAGAATATCAGGGTTGGAAGGGACCTCAGGAGGTCATCTAGTCCAACCCTCTGCTCAAAGCAGGACCAATCCCCAGACAGATTTTTTGCCCCAGATCCCTAAATGGCCCCCTCAAGGATTGAACTCACAACCCTGGGTTTAGCAGGCCAATGCTCAAACCACTGAGCTATCCCTCCCCCTTTCCCCCTCATGTTATTCTCCCAGGGGATCCTGCCCATCAGTTCCCTGAGGGAATCAAAGTCTGCTTTTCTGAAGTCCAGGGTCCGTATTCTGCTGCTCTCCTTTTGTCAGGATCCTGAACTCGACCATCTCATGGTCACTGCTGTCCAGGTTGCCACAAACTTCTACTTCCCCTACCAATTCTTCCCTGTTTGTGAGCAGCAGGTCAAGAGGAGCACAGACCCTAGTTGGTTCCTTCAGCACTTGCACCAGAAGGTTGTCACCAACACTCTCCAAAAACTTCCTGGATTATCTGTGCACCGCTGTATTGCTCTCCCAGCAGATGTCAGGGGGATTGAAGTCCCCCATGAGAACCATCGCCTGTGATCTGGAAACTTCTGTTAGTTGTCTGAAGAAAGCCTCGTCTTGCTCTCGCCTCTAAACTTAACCCAAAGACTCTCAACAGGCTTTTCTCCAGTTTCATACTGGAGCTCTGAGCAGTCACACTGCTCCCTTACATACAATACAACTCCTCCACCTTTTCTCCCCCACCTGTCCTTCCTGAACAGTTTATACCCATCCATGGCAGTGCTCCAGTCACCTGAGTTACCCCACCACGTCGCTGTTATTCCAATCACATCATAGTTCCTTGACTGTGCCAGGACTTCCAGTTCTCCCTGCTTGTTTCCAAGGGTTCTTGTGTTCGTGTACATGCACCTAAGATAACTAGCCGATTGCCCCACTTTCTCAGTATGAATCAGGAGGCCTCCCCGGTTGCACCCTCTCCTTGTTTCCCCCTGGTATCCCACTTCCCCCGGGTTTAGGTCTCTATCCCCCAGTGAACCTAGTTTCAAGCCTTCCTCACTAGGTTAGCCAGCCTGCCTATGAAGATGCTCTTCCCTCTCTTCGTTAGGTGGATCTCATCTCTTCCTAGCAATCCTTCTCCCCGGAACAACATCCCATGGTCGAAGAATCCAAAGCCCTCTCCGACCCCACCTGCGTAGCCATGCATTCAGACCACCCTAACGTGATAGAGATGCTTCTCTACCTGGCTCCATGTAGGTGGAGCCTACATTTACAGCCAGAGCAAAATGCTAATCGAATGACTGCAAAGAAGATATTTTAGACAGGACCAAACAAGCAGCAGTGGGTGCCCTGTCTCCACGTGAAGACGACGGCTGGCTGGAACTGCAGCTGGGGCTGCAGAGGTACCCCTAAGTAGCCGTCACTGAGGGGACAGGCCGCCAGCTGGCTTGTCTTATGAACCAAGGCTCACGGCCGGTCTGGTGGTTGGAGCTGGGAGAGAAACACCCGGTGAGCTACACTCCGTGAGCGGGGCCTGGCTTGGCAGTCATGTCCAGGCTCTCGGAAGCATGTTTTATTTTAGTTGATATGTTACATTTATTCTGCTTCTCAGAGCTCTGGTACTTTCACTTGTTTTCACCACAAACCAAACCAAACCACTGCAGTGCTCCGGAGGTCTCACGGGTAAGCCCGGGGGGGGGAGGAGGGGACACACCATTCCTGTGGGAGTGGAGGATCTGAGAGTCCCCAGCGGCTCTGGGGCTGCGCACTCCAGGGATGCTCGGGGTCAGAGCGTGCCTATTGCTAACCTGCGGAGGGACAGCGGGGCCTGGAGAGGCTGCGAGGGGAGTGCTGCCTGGGATTGGGGGAGGTGGCAGGAGGTTGGCAAACCCTTTTAACAAGAATGCGCCCTATCATTGTTGATACCCATCTCCTCTACCCCCACGGCCCTGCCTGCTGGCTTGGCTCATCCGCCTGGTGCTTACCCTGTAAGCTCTCTCTGGGGCACAGTCTGTCACTTGCCGTGGGTTTGTACAGCACCAGCCTCGCTGGCCTGTAGGTGCAGCTGCACTATAACTATCACAGAACCACAGAAACGGGGGGCGGGGAGGGAGCTCCTGGAGTCATCAAGTCCAGCCCCCTGCACTGTGCAAACCTAGACCGGCCCCGGCAGGTTTGTCCAACCTGTTCTTAAAAACGTCCAGGGCCGGGGATTGCACAACCTCCCTGGGATGCCTGTTCCAGAGCTTCGCTACCCGAGAGTTAGAAACCGGTTCCCAACCTCTAACCTAAATCTCCCTGGCTGATTCAACCCGTTACTACTTAATATTAGCATGGCAAATACTGTGCGAATCTCCGTTAAAAGATCATTTTTCGGTGGCTAAGGCAAACACCAAAAGTTAGGAAATGCCAGATGTAGGGTTCTCCCTGTGACCTTCGTTCCGCCCCTGGGATCTGAGTCCTGTGGAAAAAAACATTGATGACCGTGTCATTAAAGGCAGTGTCACGTAATGCACATGCTTCAGGAGGCGGAGCGAAGGCTGCTGGGGCAGCCTGCATTCTGGCATGTCCTCGCTTCCCAGTGCTTGACTCCAGCCCTGCCACATTGTTAAAAACCTCCTCAAATAACATCATGGCCTTGAGGATTTTTCCTCCCACGAGCAGGATTTGAACCCTCAACCTCCATCGCCAGAATTCAGGCAGCTTGAGCTAAAAGCTTCACTTTGCTGACTGCTACTAGGAGAAGTCTGTTAGCCCCGTGCGGGCACAGGCTGCTGGGTTTGGGGATGAGAGTCGGCCCCAGGGGGATCTCTCCCCCCATTTCCCTGCTACAGTTGTTGGAGCAGGGCCCCGGCGTTCCCGTTCCCAGGGCAGCTGAGAGCCATTGAACCAAACTGTAACCCCTGTTTCTAACGACAACCACGTCAAGCCAGGGGGTGCTGCAGCACCCCCATTCCAGCACCCATGTCCGTTACCATGCTGGCAGGTTGCCAACTTTCCCGGAGTAACGATAACGAGGGAAGGGAAATGATAACTTCTGACAGCTCACAGCTCAGCTGACCTGAATGGGGCACAGAAAGGGCCCCTCCCTAGCCAGAGAGCAACTAGCAAAGGCCTGCTGGCAACCAGGGCGGGGCGGGGGATCTCAGAGAAAGGGGCACAAGAATAGTGTTTAATGGGAAGCCATAAGGCAGCGTAAATATCGGGGTCCCTGCCAGCACCCCGTAACTGGAGACTGTCTTACCTTTGAGCCTGGCAGCCGTTTGAGTCTTTGTTATTCCAGCTCCCTCTGCAGCACCGCACCGGGCAGGGGGCAGGAAGAAGCCTGCTTCTGAATTCCCGCTCTGGGCTTCGCTGGGCAGGCAGCCGATCCCAGGCCCAGCACAAGGCCGCGTGCAATCCATCGTGTGACCACAGCCCCCCGATTGCCCGGGTTCCCCTCACAGCCTGGCAGGACACGGCGCCCGCGCTCACTGCAAGACTTACCGGGCCAGGAGCTCGGGCAGTGGCAGGGTGAGGAGATGTGCGCTCGGAGTTACTCAGCCCCTTCCAGGAGCCCCAGGCTCCCAGCAGCCCATCCAAGCGAGCCGGCCCCGGTGCAGCTTGAGGTGCCTTCGGCCCCAGCCCCGTGTTATCTGGGGTTCCCTGTAGGGTGCGTGATGTGCTTTGGGGCATGGAGGGGGTCTCCAGGGGCTCTTTGGCTGCCTCTGTGGCAGAGGAGAGGCAGGGTCCCCACTCCTTCGCTGCGCAGGCCCAGTGCTGGCCTGCTTGCCCCAGGAACCAATTCAGCCAGGCCCTAGTGCGGAGGGGCAAACTGGTCCCCTGGGGCCTCCATCCAGCCAGGGCAGCGGGAACAGCACAGTGAGAGCGGGCCAGCCCGGGTCCTGCCCAGCCTGGCACGGGTCCCGCTCCGCCCGGGGAGAGCAGCAATTCCCCTCGGGCCCCAGCGGACATCTTTCCCCGAACCGTCACAGTCCAGAGTGAGTCTCTTGCCCTTGGGACTCCGCAGCGAGGGGCGGCAAAGTCCCTGGGCTCGCATGGCGCGTCCTCCCCACTGCAAGCAGGCCGAGCGCCTCACGCTCCCTCCCAGGGCCGAGCCCCCTCCCTAGCAAGGCCCCTGGCTCTGAGCAGCCACCACCTCGGCTGGGCCTATGGAGCTAACGAGTGCTCCCACGGGGGAGGCCGGGAAGCTTCCTGTCCACCTCAACTGACCTCAGCAGCCAAGCCAGGATCCATCCAGGCCAGTTCCCGCGCATCGACCCCCGTGGGACCGGCCAGCTCTCGGTGCCAGCTGCACGCTCAGAGCAACGGAGGTAGAGCTCAGGGCCTGGCTAGTTCACACCGCTGATATCAAGGTGGCTGAGCTCAAAACCACTCCAGTCCCCACCTCTCCCAGCAGGGGGCGCTGTGGAGAGCGGGGCAGGAGCTGGCTGGGGGCGGAGCTCCCGGTTACTGCAGTCACAGCCTCTCCCAGCAGGGGGCGCTGTGGAGAGTGGGGCAGGAGCTGGCTGGGGGCGGAGCTCCTGGTTACTGCAGTCACAGCCTCTCCCAGCAGGGGGCGCTGTGGAGAGTGGGGCAGGAGCTGGCTGGGGGCGGAGCTCCCGGTTACTGCAGTCCCAGCCTCTCCCAGCAGGGGGTGCTGTGGAGAGCGGGGCAGGAGCTGGCTGGGTGGGGGAGCTCCCGGCTACTCCAGCAGCTTCGTGTGGCCGTGCAGGGATTCCCAGCAGCTGTGACTCACAGGAGCTCTGGTGCCAGAGGCTCTTTACCAATTACAATCAGACTGAATTGTATCACCTCCGACTTTATTGCTGAGCTCCCAGAACAGAGCAGGAGACGGGGCCTGGCGCCCCGCTGGGCTGGCCAGGGCGGAGATAGCGGGAGAGCTGCAGCGGGCACGTCTATACAGCAGCTGGGCACGAGCTCCCGGCCCCATCAGATACCACCTGACTCCTAGGCGGGGGGAGCCGGAAATCTCCCCTGCTCTTTGTGGCACGAGTGCCGCTGGCACCAGTCGGGGACACGTGAGGCTCACGCCCAGCTGCAGCGTGGCCATGCCCAGCAGGGCCTGGCACTGGGGCAGGGCTAGCTCCCAGCACCGACGCAGGTCTGGGTGCAGCAGAGCTAACGAAAGCAAGGGGCGGGGGGGGGCGGGGGGGAGTTCTGGGCCTGCACCGGGACAGGCCACGGCAGCGCCGTAAAGTCAGACCCATTCTCAGCTACTGAGATTTCTCACCCCTGGATGTACTTGAATAAACCCTCAATCATCTTCCCTGTGCTGGGCCCCTCCCATCTCTGCTGCCCCCTTCTGGGGCCCTGGGGTCTCTGCCCCACATCTGGGCTTCACTTAGCCCTTTGCTCACCGGCTGAGACACCAGGGCTCCTCCCCGACAGCCCCTCGGGGAGCGGGGACAGTCCAGGCTACACCGAGGAGCAGAGGCTGCCCCAAGAACCGGGACCGTTCATCAGCTGATGAGCAGGGCAGGGCGGTGCCGCGGTCGCTCAGCCGAGCCGTGCAGCGCAGAGAAGGGGCTGCTCCGGGGCAGATCGTGGCCTCCCTCTAGCGCTAGCGGGCCTGCCTGGTCCACACACTGAGGGCAGGATGGTGTGTGCCCCCCGCCATGCTCCTCAGGCCGGCCTGCTTTGAAATGTCCCTGGCGGATGATCCCACAGCCGGATCCATCTCCCAGCCGCAGAGTCACTCCCGATATTCACCCTCATTCTTCCCATTCTGCTCCCTTGGGTACCCAAAACAAGCCGCCTCCCCCTCGGCGCACCAGGCAGCTGGGGGACGGACAGCGCTCCGGTCGGACTCTCTCCAACAGGCGCTGGGGCCAGGCCAACAGGAAGGACAAGCCTGTGATCCCAGCACGGAGGCTCAGGAGAGCTGGGTTCTAATCCCGCCTCTGCCAAATCCTCCTGTGTGACCTTGGGCAAGTCGCTTAGTGGTTCTGGGCCCTGGTGCCCCGATACCAGTGATGGGCCTGGTAGCCGAAACCTGGGAGAGTTCTGAAAGGTGGCCAACTTTGGCATCAACTTGCTGCTACCAGGCACTGGCCCAACCTAGCTCTGCCGGCGCCCCTCAATCCCAACCCACAGCCCACTATCCTAGCCCTGGGGTCCCCCCCAGCTCTGCCGGTGTCCCTCAATCCCGACCCGCAGCCCCCTATTCCAGCCCTAGGCTCCCCCCCAGCTCTGCCAGTGCCCCTCAATCCCGACCCGCAGCCCCCTATCCCAGCCCTGCTCCCCAGCTCCCAGCATGCAGTGCCTTGTCTGGGCCGTATTGCATGCTGGAGCATGGCCTGCACCTGGGCATTAAAGCGGAGAGCGGCCCATCAGGTGCAGCCACTGGGCTCCCGGCATGTTGCCCCGGCTGCCCACTGGGCATGGCGGGCAGACGGCCTGGAGGAGAGCAGACGGCAGCGTATGGGCGCTGTGGCGGGAGCAGGAGCAAGGCCAGCATCTCACTTTCCCGGCTCCGGGCTGCCCGCTTCCCTGGGCGTCCCCACCTGCGGTTTCTGTCTCTTCCTGCTGGGCCGGGGGCCAGGCACCTGGGGAAGGAAAGCGGCCGAGATCAGAGCAGCTCGTCTCACTGTCTGGGTCCTGTCGATGCAAGGGCAGCCTCCAGCAGAGAGGGCGGCTAGACTGATACGTGCCCAGGCCCCTGCTGGGACCAATGGGGCCAGGACTGGAAGCAAAGGGATCCGTGTAGGAACCTGGAGGGCTAACACCAGGCCTGGCCCCCACCCCTCCTCACACATGTAACTGGCACAATGAAGACCCTGCTCAGTGCTGTTTGCAGATCTCGACCCATACAGAGGATAACCCGCTGTGCCATCCCTCGGGCCCCCCGGTGCCAGGGCCTGGCGCGCACACCCCTTACCTCCGGCGGACGTGCCCGTTTGCTGGCGGGGAAGAACTCGCCCAGCTTCTGCTGCCTCCCGCCCTCCCGGGGCGCTCGCTGCTTGGGCTCGGCCTCCTCGGGCTTGGGCTGGGCCTCCTGCCACCGCTGCAGCCGCCGGCACACCCGCAACTCGCTGGAAACGGAGCTCAGGTCAGTGGGGCAGGGCCTGGAGGGGATCTGGACCAGGGGGAGCATCACAGCAAGAGGAACGGAAACCAAGGGGGTTGAGGAGAAACCCCTAAGCGTCCCCTCCCCCCCCATGCCAGGATCTCAGCAGAAGCGGCTCAGCGCCAGGCCGGCCCCCAGAGCTCCCCACTACAGGAGCTTCCCGAGCTCCGTGTCCAGCGTCCCTCAGGGCGCTGCAGTAAATCTGCCAAGGCCGTATCCAGCCTCTCCGGGGCTCTGTGAAAGTCACGCTGGGGCTGGGGCCGGGCGAAACCGGCAATTCTTTGGCTGATGCACAGAGCAGGCCAGAGCCCAGCTCGGACCCAGACCAGGGGCTGGAGACTTGCGTGGGGTGCTCTGAGTGTCGATCCCAAAGGGGGCGGGGGAGTCTGCTGGTGCCACAGAGCAAGCTCCGTGTTGGTGTGAAAGGTGCCAGGCTGGGAACCCTGGCGACGTGCCCCTCCTCCCCCCCCTTCCGCCCTGGACGTCCCCCCTGTGGGCGGGAGAAAGGGGGTGAGTCTCCAAGGCCTATGCAGCTGCTGGCTTCAGTACTGAGGCTGCCAGCTGTGGGGTCAGATTGGGGGCAGACACACCATGAACCGAGACCCCCCCAAACTCATCACACACAGGACTCCACCCCGTTCTAGGCCATCCCGCCTGCCCCCCATCCAGACAGCACGACACTGACTTCATGTGCTTCTCATGGGCGAGGAACCGCACCAGCCCCTCTGGGTCGGGGTCGCGCCACTCCAGCGTTATCCGGTCCGGGTCGGCCACCTCCGGCTGCAGGAAGAGCCTGCGAGCTCCCTCCAGGTCCCAGTTGGCGGGCAGCGGGTGCTTCTGTAACAGCAGCAGCTTACAAGCCAGCGGTGCCCTGTGCCCCCAAAGGATCCCAAAGCACTTTGGAGCTCACGCCCAGGAACGTGAGCTCCAAAGTTCCCCACTGCAATGCGCCCACCTCTGGGGAGGGACCAGCAGCTGGTTACCAGTGCATAGCAACACCACAGGAGCGCAGGCCGGCAGGGGGTCACTGCTGCTCTCTTCCCCAAGGGGCGTGGGCTTCGTTCCCTCCAACCAGCCCTGCTCCTTTGCCCACTTCCCGGGCATCCCCCTCTACCTGGCTCTCGCCGGCAGTCACACCCTTCCTGGCCCTTCCCACCGACAGCGCGGCTTTACAGCACACCCCAGCCCTCCCTTCCCCTGCTCGGTCCCCCCCATGCAGCATGCAGCTTGGCTGCTCATGCCCAGGCCCCGCCCCCGGTACCTGCGGGTCGATGTTCTGGAGAACCTGCTCGATTGTCCCATGTTGCTGCAGCAGCTTGAGGGCCTTTTTGGGGCCCAGCCGCCAGATCTTCCCACAGTAGTCACAGCCCAGCAGGATGCACAGGTCCACGAACTGCCCCAGGACAGGCCCGGCCCAAGGAGAGGGAGCAGAAGACAGCCATCACCAGAGGGGTTACCTGGGTGGCCACCTGCTCCGTCCCTGACCACCCCTCCCACCCCTCCCAGTGAGGCTGGCAGAGCAGGGGCCAGCTCACGCCACGGTCCCCATGTCTCAACCGAACCCTGACAAATACGTGGCTGGCACAGCCTGGCCCACCTGGGGGTTAGTATCGTTCAAACAGGTGTTAGCATTGGAAGACTGTGTTTAGCCTTTATGGAATGCTTGTGAGCTGCTGCCGGCATCAATCTCACGTATCACATCTGTATCCCCTAGTGCAAGGGAACATCTGAGCGGCTGGATTGGGAGCTTCTGTGAGCGTGTAACTCACCAGGCAGGAGAGAGACATTAACCAGTGTGAAGTGCTGGCTCCAGCGGGAGGTGTCACGTCCTGCCCCACAGGGAAGGACCATCGACACCTGCTGTGCCCCCCACGAAGCTGAGTCGTGCAAGTGGTTTCCTCCCATCAGCGGAGTTCACAGCTCAGAGCACATGGGGGGAGGGGAATAAAACCTCCAGGCAGAGAGAAATGATTATACTCTGGAGGGGCAGGTTTCTAGGCAGAAGCAAGAGATCCCCAGTGCTCAGCCCAGGTCAGCCCTACAGGACGTATGGAGCTTGCATGTGATAGACGCGTCTAGTCCCTTTGGAAACTTGTGACTGTAACTCCGGTGTGTCTCTGGTTCCCGGCTTCACCTCGTCAAGAACTCTCCTGTTTCCTGTCCCAGGTAATAAAGCTTTCGACAGCTTGTTCTAGGGCTGGCTACAAGCATGGGCTTCGGTGTGAGAGCTAAAGCGCCGGGGCCCTGGGGTGAGGACGGGTCCTTTGGGACAGGGAGTAACCTGACTTTTGTTGTATCCTTGGGGGAAGGGCCCAGCTATCTCCCAGGTGGCAGGACAGGTGGGGGGCCCACGGGGCCTGTCTGTGACTCCCCGGTTAGGCTGTGGTAGGGCCTGAGGAGCTCACACCTGGTAACTGGTTGGTGAAATCGAACACAGAACTCACAGCCAATGTGGGGCTGGTGCTGGGTTCCCAGCACTCACGCTCTGGAGTCACAGCAGACAGCGTTACACTCCTCACCAGCATGGTCCCTCCCCGTCCCAGCATAGCCCCACCTGGTCAACATGCGCCAGACCGACGGGCGGCACAAGGGAACGACGAGACAATCCTGCTGGCCAGCGTCGTCTCCCTGTTCTCTTGGGCTGCCCGACGGGCTGTCTGCATCCACCCGTTGTCTCCTATTCTCGGATTCCCAGCTCTGGGCGAGGCCTGTCTCTGTTCTGTGTCCAGGCAGCAGCGAGTGCAGGGGGTCGTGCTGTCCACGGGGGCCCCACAACGCTACCACAACACCACAAAATCCATCAATCCATCCCCACCTGCTCCTGAGTCAGGCCCAGCTTCTGCAGAATGTCCGGCAGGGAAAACTCTTCTACTTCACTGCAAGAGACAGAGGGCAGCGTGAGGCTCGGGCACACTCCTGGAGCATCCTCCCTCCGCCAAGCCCCCATTCCTGCAGCACCCCCCAGAGCCGCGCAGCCATCCCCTGCGGTGGGAGTGAGCTCACATGTCCAGTGCAGCACAAACCCGGAGCAGATCTCTTAGATTTCAATACGGCCAGTGAGAGAGAATCCACCACAGCCTTGGGATATTGCTCCCGGGGTTAATGGTTTTAAGCCCCACTGTTAAAAATCTGCCCCTTATTTCCAGTCTGAATTTGTCTAGCTTCAGATTCCAGCCATTGGATCATGTTCGACTTTAGCCTGCTAGACTGACAAACCCGCTGTCAAATCTCTGTTCCCACGGAGGTACTTATAGACTGGTCAAGTCACCCCTTCACCTGCTCTTCGTTAAGGGAAATAGATGGAACTGGAGTCTCTCATGACAAAATATGTTTTCTAATCCTTTAATCATTCTCGTGGCTCTTCTCTGAACCCCTCCAATTTATCACCATCCTTTTCGAATTGTGGCCCCAGAACTGGACCCAGGACCCCTGCAGCAGTCACACCAGGGCCACGTACAGAGGTGAAATAACCTCTGCTCCTCGAGATTCCCATGTATAGCTCCCAGGACTGCATTAGCCCTTTTGGCCACAGTGTCGCACTGGGAGCTCACGTTCAGCTGGTTACCCACCCCCACCGCCAAACCTTTTTCAGAGTCTCTGCCTCCCAGGACAGAGTCCCCACCCAGCAAGTATGGCCAACACTCTTTGGTCCTAGATACAGGTCTTTACATCTGGTTGTATTGTTGTTTGCTTGTGCCCAGCTCACCAAGCGATCCAGATCGCTCTGTGTCAATGACCAGTTCTGTTATTTCCCACTCCCCCAATCGTTTGTCATCTGCAAACTTTGTCAGTGACGGTTTTATGTTTTCCTCCAGGTCATTGATAAAAACGTTCAATAACGTCGAGCCAAGAACCGATCCCTGCGCGTCCTTACTACGAACACCTGCTCAGTGGGGATTCCCTGTCTTTTGAGACCGATCACTTGGCTAGTTTTTAATCTGTTCACCGTCTGCCACGTTCATTTTCTATCGTTCTAGCGTCTTCATCAAAACGACATGCAGGACAAGGTCAAAGGCCTTCCCGGAGTCTAAGTCTGTTACGCCAACGCGATCACCTTTATCAGCCGACTTGTCATCTCGTCAGAAACGACACCGAGTGAGTTTGACAGGATCTATTTTCCCCAAACCCATGTGGAGGGGCGTTCATTCTATCACCCTCCTTTCATTCTTTATTAACTGCGTCCCGTATCAGCCGCTCCATTACCTTGCCCACGATCGATGTCAGGCTGACAGGCCTATAATTATCCTGCTCATCCCGTTTGCCCCTTTAAAACACTGGCACAGACGCTTTATGCCAGTCGTCTGGAACTTCCCCGGGGTTCCCAGGTGCCAGCAGCTCCTGGATCCCCCTCTCTCCTCTACCACATCCCCCAGCAGGGCTCAGGCCCGCCAAGGGCTCAGCGTGGCCAAGGCCCCTCCCCGGCCCCCGGCCACTCACCAGTTGTTCTTGGAGCTCAGGTGGCGGATCAGACGGAGGCTCCCGAAAGGCAGCGCGTCCATGTCTTCCGTGGCCGTGCACCAAACCTTGCCAGACTTCACCAGAGCTGCGCAGGTGGCTTCTGCCTCAGCCGGAGCCTGCGCACAGGTACAGAGAGCGGCTCTGCTAGCATCCCCGTGGGGACAGCGCCCGAACGGGACCTGCCGGGGGCACACGGACCCTCCTCCCCCTTCCCCGCTCAGACCAGCATTCACGGCTTCCTTTAAATCACAGCAACTGGTTTGCTTCTGTCAAGGGTCCGCGTCCCTCCCGACAGCACTTTGTGTAGGCCCTAGATAAACAACCCCCGTCTCCACCAGCGATACCCTGCAGCTCTGGGACACTCAGCCATGGACCCTCCGGCCACCAGAGCCACCCGGGCCGGCCCTGCAGAGCAAGAACTGTAACCAAAGCAACCGGCTTCACCCAAGCACAGGGGTCACCCCCCTTCTCCTGGGGAGCCCAGACAGCTCCCCAGTGACCCATGGGCCGCCCCTCTGCCACAGGCCCCAACCCCATGCTGTCCCACTCCGTGTTACCTGCACATATGGCACACCCAGGTAGCTCAGCAGGGTCTCGCAATCCTGCTTCAGGGGCCGCGGCAGGTTTTCAGCCCGGTGGGACTCTGTAACCGGCAGAGGAACATGGGTCAGGGGTTCCTGCTGTGGCAGGGATCCCCGGGACCAGTTACAGTGCCCCCTGCTGCTGCAAACAGGCGCTGCATGTCCAAACCGGACCCCAGACCTGGACAGCGAAGGCCCTGAAACTAGGCCTGCCACCCGGATAGGGGCCACTGACTACCACTGCCGGAGAAGGTAATGCTGGCCCTGCCCGGCCCAGGGAGCTCTCTGCGGGGCAGGGGCAGGGGAGGGCCCGGTTGGGGCAGGGCAGATGAGGCGAGCCAGGGACCCCGGCTGCTTTGCAATGCGGCACGGCAGAATCCCACAGGCTTGGGCATTTACCTGCAGCGTCTCTCCTAGCCCCGGCAGCCTCCGCCCGCTTGGCCAACTGCAAGGAAAGGAATCTGTTACAAGGATCTGCACGCAGAGACGTCCTATCGCCTTCTCAGCCCGGGCCCTGCAGCGTCCCCCGCTGCCTGGGACAGAACATCTGCCTAGCTCCCCCAGCCCCTGTCCCAATTCCTGCAGCGCCCCCTACTGGCGGGGACAGAGAATGATCAGCCGTGTATCCCCACCCCCGCCCCGCCCCCGTTGCTGCACATTCTGTCCCCTCTGCCGTGTTCAGGGATCTCAAGAGCTCTGCTTTACAATACTGCGCCTGGGGCCACTCCCGCATGTAAGTGACCTGACAACAAGCTCCCTGCCTGGACTCTCTATCTGGGAAGCTCAGCCCTTAAAGGCACACCCCACCCCACCCCCTGCGCCATTAACAAACATCCCAGCATGTCTCGGATACCAACCAGTGGCTGCTTGAGGTCAGGGGGCTGCCCGTCAAACACAAACACCGGTTTGATGCCATTTTCCAGGAGATGCAGCGTCCGGTAAAACAGCCCCTGCAAGTGACTGAGACGAAAAGCCTGCAGGTTGCCACCATGGCCCGTGCGCCACGCGGGACGGAGAGCCCGGCAGCGGGAGCCGCTCCGGCAGAGCGAGGGAAGCCCATGCGTAGTCACACACCCGCACGGGTGCAGGCCCGGAACGGTACGGCTGCCTCCCAGCTTCCACGTGAGGGTGTCAGCACCCTTATCCCCACGCATGGAGGCACAGGCAGGGGACGGGGGCTGCCCAAAGCCACCCCGCAAGTCCCTGGCAGGGCTGAGGGCAGGCCCCAGGGGCTCTTGGCTCTGAATCCTGCACACCTAATGGCCATTGAACTGTCCTCCGCTGGGCCCCCGGCAATGCACGTCACCGTGTGAGTGAGCGCCGCAAGGCGACCCCACTGGCCAGGCTGGGTGTGCGACACCGCGGAGCTGGGGCTGCCTAGGGGCTCTGGGAGCAGGGAGCAGCCCTGGGGAAGCCGGGCACTGCTGGGTACAGGCCACTCACCTGATGTTCTCCCCGTTACGGTTGAAGAGCTTCGGCATGGCCGTGCGGAACTGGTAAATGGCAATGGACGCGTCCAGGGCTATGACGCGGTCTGGGAAGCCAGGGGAACAGCCGGGTTATTCCCCCAGGGACAGGCGTAACCGCCCCCACACACACACATCCTGTCCCAAAGGGCTGTCTGCCTGGGGACTCTCACTCCGCCACCCCCCAGGGCTGCTTCCCCATTCACCCCCGTCCCAATTTCCTGGCGTGTCCCCAGCCGCTACCCCCACCATTCCCAGGCGATCTCAGCCTCTGCCTCCCTCCTCTGTGCTCCGAATCCCCATCTGCCCCCAGGCCCCTGCCCGCGTGCGCTGTCCCCTCCCGCTGGGGGGCAGCAGGAGGAGCCGTGCCCCAGGCTGGGGAAGAGCTGAGGGGCGCTCACCTCGATACTGTCGCAGAGGGAATAAGCTCACGGCCTCCGCGGCCTCCTCCTTAATCACATCTGCCAACCTGGCGATGCCCATGGGCACGATCCGGGAATCTCTGCAGAGGTTGGGCACAGATGGGGAGTGCCCCAGGGGCTGGGCACAGATGGGGAGTGCACCGTGGGCTGGGCACAGATGGGGAGTGCAGAGATGGGGAGTGTCCCGGGGGCTGGTCACAGAAGAGGGGGGTCCTGAGGGGTGCAGAGATGGGGAGTGTCCCAGGGAAGTGGGCACAGAAGAGGGGGGCACTGTGGGTGTGGGCACAGAGGGGAAGTGTCCCGGGGGCCGGTCACAGAAGAGGGGGTTCCTGAGGGGTGCAGAGATGGGGAGTGTCACAGGGATGTAGGCACAGAAGAGGGGGGCACTGGGGGTGTGAGCACAGCTGGGAAGTGTCCCAGGGGCTGGGCACAGAAGAAGGGGGTCCTGGGGGGTGCAGAGATGGGGAGTGTCCCAGGGAAGTGGGCACAGAAGGGGAGTGTGCCCCGGGGGCTGGGCACGGAGAAGCAGGGAGCAGACACTCCCCAGAACGGGGCAGGCCCCAGGAACGCAGCGGAGCTCACAGCAGGGACGCGGCCGGGGCTCGGAGCTGGGGCTGTGCGCAGGGAACCACGGGCAGCGGCAGCCACAGGAGCGGGACCGGCGCTGCAGCCGCCGCCGGGCTGGGGGTTCGCGGCCGGGCTGGGAGGCGCGGGGGCCGGAGCGCAGGGGAAGCCGGGCCGGGCCGGGCCGGGCTGGAAGGAAGGATCGGGGCGGGGCTGCGCTGCCCGGCACCTCCCCGAAGCTGCGCCGCCTGCTAGCCGAGGAGCCGGGCGGGGCTGAGCGTTTCGGACCGGGAGGGAGCTGGAGCTGGAGCTGGAGGTGGGGCAGCCGCTGGGGGGCCCTGGGCAGACAGATCCCAGCAGCGGCAAGACGCCCAGGGATGGTGGAGCCATGGGGGCTGCCTGGGAGCAAAGAGGCTTTTCCAGCTGTGATTGCCGGGGCGAGCCTAAGGCTGAGGGGTGCTTGATGCCCCCGAGGGGGAGACTGGCCCATGGGGACCCCGAGGCAGCAGGCGCTCAGTGGCCTGGCCCATGCGGACGGGGATGCCCTGGGGGTACCTGGCTGTGGGCAGGGCCGGCTCCAGGGTTTTGGCCGCCCCAAGCAGCCAAACAAAAACAAGCCGCGATCGCGATCTGCAGCGGCGATTCGGCGGGAGGTCCTTCGCTCCGAGCAGGAGTGAGGGACCATCCGCTGGACGTGCCGCCCCTCTCTGAAGTGGCCGCCCCAAGCACCTGCTTGGTAAGCTGGTGCCTAGAGCCGGCCCTGGCTGTGGGCACCTCGCGGGTGGGAGTCTTGTCTTTGGCTGGCAGGGGTCAGCTCCCTGGCAACCTGAGCTCTGCCCGCCAGGCCCCGCGCTCTCTGCAGGTCAGCAATCGCCTGCCCCCTCTGAGCGGCTCCCTGGAGCGTCCAGCAGCCCCTGGCCCACTGGACACTCAGAGGAGAGCCGCTGCTCCCCAGCGTCCCGGTTCCCGCTCAGCTCAGGCTCCGTGCGACGCACAGCGCGGAGATATGGCTATGGCGACACCAGTCCACGGTCATTTCACACGGTTCCCAGATGCAGGTGACCCCAAGCAGAAGTGCTGTGACCAATGGTCACAGACAAAATCGAACCGTAAAGCACAGTCTAAAACCTAGACTGACTCAGCAGATACTTTCTTACCTTCTGGAGTGACGCTCACCCAAAGTCCCCCCAGCGTTGAACAGCCAGGCCTGGCTGGGATCCTCCGTCTGTGGACAAGGCACAGCTGGCAGCTTGCCTCCTCGGTGACGCATCCCAGGTGTCTCTCCACCCGGAGTTAGACCCTCCAAGCCATGGTTTGAATGACACCCCCTAACCCGTTCGTTTTTTCTGTGTTTTCCTTTCCTGTTGATTTTCCAAACCCTTGCCCAGCGTGCGCCTCCGTTGGGAGACAGACGGATGATGCAGAGAGAGACAAGTCCCTTCCCTCCTGTCTGGTGACCTCTGCAACTCACAGGCCTTAGGAACACGATGCGCAGTGTAGCTCCCTAGCCCTGAGATATCATCTCACCTACATCTTGCAATGATTAGAGCGACCAGTGCGCTGCGGGCTGTTGGCAGAGACTTCGGATGCCACCCTTTGGCACAGTATTCTGCATATATCGGAGCCAAAGGATCCCTGGAAACCCCTACACAGTCCTTATGCCCTCTGCCTGTTCCTGGGTCAGAGTGAGCCTGAGGCCGTGGCCACTCAGTACCCAGGGAGGGGTGGCACAGTACA